ATGTAAAAAAAAAATTGACACGCATAGTAGACTAAGGGATACTTTCAATGAAGGATTTTGCTTTCAAAAACAAAACACAAAGTTCCCTAATTGTGAAATTAAAAGCAGGGGATAGAAAACTTTATTCTATGAATATGAGTATCATAGCTTGAAAAGTAGGACAAAGACAGGAAAGAATACAGAGTGAAGAAGTAGTCGGAGGAAGTGAGATGGGAAAACAAAGAGAAAAGGGAAGGATCTCTCAGGGAGCATTGACGTGACTGTACTTTTCAGCAATACTTTCATTCCTAGTTCTTTAATGTTCTTCAGTTTTCTTTCTGAAATCTCAATAGCAAAATTTAATGATAAAAATTAAAATAGAAGTCACATACCAGTAAACATTCTTACTTGTTGCCTGAAGGTACGATGATAGATAAACATCAGAATAGAGAGCATTGTTCCACATCACTAATGCTTGGGATTTTTAGAAAATAATGGTGAGAAATTACTTTATTAAAAAAATTCTACTGCCTGCATGAATGAGCAAGTTAATATTGTCTTAGCAACATTAAGTTGGAGCTTTGTACATTTTGAATAAATGTATTTATAAAACAAATTCAGTGAGCCATTAATTTTTTACAAAAATTGATCTTGGCAGTTTATAGCAATATAATTTTATAAAATTTAAACTTTCACATTAACAATTTTTTCCTACCACTGTAACTATGTGATCAGTGCTTCCAAATCATTTTATTTATTTATTTATTTATTTATTCATTCATTTAATTAAGTACTTAATTTGGTCTTTTGAGACAGCATCTCACTCTGTAGTTCAGGTGGGCCTCAAGCTCACTATGAAACCCAGCTGGCCGTGAATTTCATAGTGATCCTCCTGCTTCCATCTCCCGAGTGCTAGGACTACAGGCGTGTGCCACCGTGGCTGGCTTCCAAATCATTTTAAACAACTAAAGATAAAATAATTTATCTGAAAAATAAAGTAGTAAATTAGCTCCGATAAAATCTTGTTTTCTTTTTAAAAAAATATTGCTATATCTTGAATCATTTGATTCTATAACATTGCTGGGAAAATTTTTTTATCACTTTGAAATATTTTTTCCTTTACTTTCAATTTTGCTAGTAAAGGAAAAGCTCCCAGTCATAAGGAAAAATGTATGTGACTTTCTCTTAAAGTCTTATTTGTAGTCCCAATTTCCTTACATATGTATCACTTTTTCTAAGCATTTTTTGTTTTTGTTTTTACACATGTGCAACACTTTTTCAATATATAAAGAGCTCCTTTCATTTTATCAAGCTTTGCTATATATGAAAAATGGTTGTCACTAGCGCTGTTATATCACATTTGATTTTCCCCCCAGCCTGTCCCATGAAGTTAAAAGCCCAGGGTTTGGGGGTCTCTTTCTTATGAATTAATATAGTTCGATAAATTAAATGTGATATTATAATATTTCTCACTGACTAAGAAGTATTGGTTGGTACCATCTTAGAGTGTGAGAAGTAATATTTGCACCTAGCTGTCTTACTATTACATATTTATAAAATAATTTTAATATCAATTAGCCTCTTTATTTTATTGTTTTAAAGATTCCTTTTAAGTTTGTCTTTTTTTCAGTTTTAATCATTTTTTTGTTTTGATAAAGAAAAGTTAATAAACAGGCTCTCTTAATTTAAGTAATATAATTCTTTTAAAAAGAAATGAGTAATGTTAAAGCATTTGTAATCCAGTGACAATTTAGAGTTAAGGCAAGGAAAGCTATTTTTAGATGTTTTGCAGAGATGAGTATTTTTGAAAAGATATGTCAAATTAATTCCAAAATGGAAAAATCAGCCACTAGAATAATGTAAATATTCAATACAGTATTTCTTTTCAGAAACCTGACAGAATTGCATACTAAAATGACCAAAGGGAGCCGGGTGTCGTGCTGCACTCCTGTAATCCCAGCACTAGGGAGCCTGAGGCAGGAGGATTGCCATGAGTTCAAGGCCAACATGGGCTACATAGTGAGTTCAAGGTCAGCCTGAATTGCGTAGCAAGACCCTGTCTCAAAAAAAGAAAAATGACTAAAGTGAAGAAGTTTAATTTAATGCTTCTTTAAAATGGAGGTTTACAAAAATGTACATGAAGGGTACATCTCATGAGCATTTGGACATAATACACAAATAAAGAAATGCATCTGAGTCAGGTAATTATTAAAATCTAAGTCAGGTAATTATTTTATATGTTAAAATTTAAGTGGAGAAAATCAAATATCTCTTGAAATTGGCTTGAACCTTAAAAATATTCAGTTGGCCTGAACCTTAAAAGCTTCAGGGGCCATCCCTTCTCAGGAATTTGACTGAACTAAATTTTAACTATCAATTTACACCAAGGAGTACGTGAGAAAAGCTCTAGCTATCCATGAGGATACGTGGTAATGTCTTTCCCAGGAATTGTACACAGAGTCAGATGTGTCTTCCCTCAGTCTTTAGTGACACAATATTGTAGCAGGGAAACATTTTGCACTTTGGATCCACAAAAGAGATGAGAAGAAACTTGTAGTGTAGACAAGGTGAGACTTAAATATAGTCACACAGAAGTTAAAAAAAAGGAAGCGGAAATATAGAAGTGTTTTTACCTTATTTTTTTACTTATTTTACATCAACTCCAGATTTCTTTCCCAAAACTCTTTTCTCTCCATCTCCCACCAATGATTTTTGTCTTACTGATGCATTTTTATCTGCCTGCGCAGGGCTAAAAGTGCATTGCCATTTTTATTTTAAGCCCCGTTGGATCTTTCATATCCCACATCCTACCCACCAGCGGATCCTGTCAGCACCGTGTTCATGATACGTTACAGATGTGTCCATTTCTTACACTTCTCCTCTAACAGCATAGTCTAAATTGCTATACTCCTTCATCTGGACTGTAGCAGTAGCCTTCTAACTTGTATGTCCTATTTGTGTTTCTGTTTCCTGTAGGCAAGAATAGTCTTTTTACTAATTCCTTTTCAATAAACCAATAGAAATTAGTAGTACAATTATCTCAGCTGTCTTGTGTATGTATATATATATATTTTCCCTTCCTTCTTTCTTTTTTTCTCTTTTTGCTCATCCCAGTTGTTCTTTCCTTCTGAGCAGTTTCTTTCCCTTTCACAATATCTATTGTACCTTTCAGATTTTATTTACTCTTTTAGGTTCTTACACTTGTAAGACAATACAATGTTTACACATATGAGTCTGATTTATTTCACTTATGAGTATGGTCTCTAATTGCATCCATTTACCTATAAAAGCCTGGAGTTTATCTTTCTTTATAGCTGAGTAATATTCCATTGTATAAAAATACCACATCTTTTTTAACCATTCCTCAGTGGATGGGCATTTGGGTTGTTTCCAAGATTGAGTCATGACAAATTGCATTGCTATAAACATGGGTGCACATATATTGCTGTGGTGTGATGTTTTTAATTCTTCTGAGAAGATACCGAGAAGGTTAATACCTGACTGTCTTGCTACTCCTAAAGCTCACCACAGATGCTCATGGTTCAGGATCCTTGCACTTCCCTACTATCTGCACTACAGCTAGCTCTGTGGATCATTCTCTCACTCTTTTCAGATCCCTATTTGAATGCACCCTGGCAAAGGGCCCTTTCCTGACCATTTTATCTAGAATAGGTGCATGCTTTTCATTTTTCTCTATCTCTGTGACCTGTTTTAGCTTTTGTAGGGGTAGTTTCAGTATTACATCACAATCATTATTTTTTTCTTTTCCCTGTCATTAGGATGTCAAATCTATGAGGCTAGGGAACTTGTCTAATTTGTTTACTGCCCTATTTCAACTTCAGAGAACAGTTCCTGGCATATAATATAGTTTGAGCTTAATATTTATTGAATTAATTACCAAATGCAGTTGAACTCCATGATTTGTACACACTACATATTATGTCACAGACATTAGATGAGATTATTTAAGTCATGCAAAAGATAAGATGTTGTTTCTCTAGGTGAGGGTGACTTATATGCAAAAGGATAAAAATAGAATACAGCCTTCTATATGCACCATAAACAGTGTACCAATTGAAATGTAGGAACATTTTCAGTGATACAGGAAAGTACATAATAAGGTTGTCAGAGGACCCCAGAAGTTTCAGAGGGACAATGAGATCTGAGAACTTTCTCTGGCTATCCCTCCAACACCACTTCCTTTTAAAATTCTTACATCATAGTATTTGTGATACTCTGGGCCCCAGGACACCATAAAATATTTCACTACTTCACCTGGGTTCCATCGCCTTAGTTTTTGAAAGTAATTATGGATGGGTATACCATTCTAAGTTGACCTCCCCTCAGTGTTTGAAAGATGTTTCTCTACTCTCTTTTCACTTACATTTTTTTTCTAATGAGAAAATTCCTCTCATCCTTTTCTGCCTCTGTAAATAATGTGTCTTCTCTGTCTGCTTTAAGATTTTTCTCTTTATTGCTAGTTTTGAAAAACTTGATGGGTGTTGGCATCATTTTCTTCCTATTTCCTGTGCTTGTGACTCATTGCTCTGCTCCTGTGGGTTTACAGTTTGTGTCTACTTTGCCTATTTTTAAACTATTACTCCTTGGAAGGACCCCTCCAGCACACACACATTCAGATTGTCCCCGGCGTTCATTGATATTGTTTTGGCCTTTCATTATTATTCTTTTTCTCTGGATGGCTTTTATTACTCCATTTTTAAGGTTATTGATCTTTTTTCCTACAATGTCTAATGTTGCTTTAGTCTCACACAGTGTACATAGTACTTTACGGTTGACATGTGGTAGGTAGAATTCTCAAATCATGGATTCTGCTCCAAGATTTTCCACTCAATTTTCCAGAATTGTGACTATGATGGGACACCAAGCCTGCAATTAGGTAATCTTGGAAAAAGGAATTTTTAGATGTAATTTAGGTTACTTGAGTCAGTGAAAAGGGGCATTATAGTAGTAGGCCTATGTAATTACATGAACTTTTTAAAAAAGAGTGTTTTTCTTTTCAGGATGACAGCAGAGCAAGGAAATCAGAGGACTGAGGCATGTGAAGGATTCAGTGCACTGTTGCTGGCTTGAAGATAACAGGGACCACATTAGAGACCTGAGCCTGGCTTCCAGGTCCCTAAGTGATACTTCTTACACCCATAAGAAGAAAGTGGAGACTTTAGCCCTATGTCCAGAAGGATGGTTGTTTTAAAAATAACTGGAATAAACTTGGAAATTAGTTTTTTTCCTTTACTCTGTATCAGAACATAGACCAGCCAACATCATAACTATAGCCTTGTAGAACTCTGATCATAAACTCCAGTCAAGTCCTCCTGGCCTTCGACCTATGCAATTGTACACTAGTAAATGGCAATTGTTTTAGGTTGCCAAATTTGTAATATTTTGTTACACAGGAGTAGAAAATCAATTCATAACACAATGTAATTTTTATCCCTTGAAATTTAATTTGAATCTTTTTTACATCTTTCATGTCTCTACTTAACTTCTGAACATAAGGAATACTATAATAGCAACTGCTTTAGTGTCCTTGCCTGTTACTTGTAAAATCTATACCAATTCTGAGGCAGTTTCACTTGCTTGATTTTTTCCAGGGCCTTATTGTGGGTTGTATCTTTCTGTTTCTTTCTACGCCTTGTAATTTTTTGTTAGATGTCATACATATGAATTTTACTTTGCTGGGTGCAAGGTTATTTTTATTTTTCTCAAAATATTCATGAGTTTTGTTGAGGATGCCGATCAAATTTGGAAATGGTTTGATTCTTTAAGGTCTTAACTTTGAGATTTGTTAGTTGGATACAAAGCTTTGATTAGTCTGGGGCTTATTACCTCCTATGAGGTAAGACCCTTTTAAGAACTGTACCCATTCTCTGGGTTATGAGGTTTTTCAGTTTGATTAGTGGAAGTGTTAAGCATTAGTCCTTCTAGTTCTTTCAGTTGATTCCTTTTCTGATATTTTTCCTCACATGCATGAGTTGAATCATCCTCAGGTTAATCCTTGAGACTTTAGACTTCACTGTCAGTGAGGCTTTCCCCTCTCTCGGACACTCTTTCATGTCATGGCCAGCTGTCTTTGTCTTCCTGGACCCCTAGCTCTTTCTCTTAAGTTCGGGAAGTATGCTATACTGTACCTGTGCTCCTCTAGCTGTGCTCTACTCTAGAAATTCTCTTCCAGTAGTAAGCATGGGGCTTACATTGTTTGTTCCATCAATCAAGGATCACAGGCCTTCATTGTCCCTAATATTCTGTGTTTGAAAAACTATTTCATGTACTTTCTTCAGTTTTTTTAGTTGTTTTGGGTTAGATCTGAAATCCACTTTCTGTTACTCTGGCATGGTTAGAAGTATACCTCTCTTAATAATCCTTTGACATAAAATGGTATATTGAGGTTCACTATTCATTCCTATATCATAGTATATATTATGTTGCATAAGTCAGTATGTGCCATGCATTGTATATCACATTTATTTGCAATACAGTATCCAGTTTGTTCCTGTTTTGCTACTTAAATAGAAACATACAACTATTCTAATCAGATGAAAATGATCAGCAGAAAATAGCAGAGAGAAATGCAAGTTAAGAAGATAGTCAGGGATTGGCAGTAGAGGAGATGGCAAAAACAAAATGGTAAGCAGAGAGCATATCATAAGGACCTGTAACGTGGGAAGGAGAACAGAAATAAAGATAAAAAAGGAAGTGGTCATTCATGTAGGATGGCTTTTGTGTATACGTTTTCTCATATAGTACGAAGGTATGGTTTTGCTCCCTATAGCTTCCCTTTTTTTCTGTGTCTTTGTACCATTCGATTCCAAACATCTCTTTCTTAGATATATCTATAGCTATATGGCCCTAAATAGAGAATATGATAAGTGAAGGTTGTCATTTCTTTGTTCAATAAATAATTTTAATTTATCATCTATACTAATGCAAACACTTGGCTAGTATGAGAGATGCAAATTTGAACAAGGTTAATGCGTTTCTTTGAATCAAGGATGGTAAAATCTACTAAGAAACACAATAGGACAGTGGGGCAAGGACAGGGGAGGCTCACTGGAGTTCCTGAAGTTGTCTGAAGTTCAACACCACTTCCAAAAGCGTGGGGGGATGCAGGTTGTGGTCACTGAGGTTTCAGATGTTACTCAGGACCCTGTCCAGTTCCCATGCCAACAGGGGAGGGGTGAGGGTGGAGTCCCCATGGTTGCTGACTCTGTCCAGGTTTTAGCTGGGCTCCACAGGGGTGTGGGTCATGCTGAGAGTGACCACTGAGGCCCCAGGAGGTGTCCAGGGCTCCACCTGCCTCATACAGTAGCAGGGGAAGCACATGGGTGGCTCCCCGGGTTTCCTGAAGATGTCCAGGGTTCAGCCCAGCACCTTCAGGCTCATTAGGGGTATGGGGAGTATCCACTGAGGCCCCAGAAGGTGCCCAGGGCTCCACCTACCTCACATGCTTGTCAAAGAGCTGTGGGGATGACTCACTGTGTTTCCTAAAGATGCTTAGGATTCAGCCTGGTACCCGTAGGCTCATTAGGAGTGTGGGGAGTGGCCACTGAGGCCCCAGAAGGTGTCTGTGGCTCTGCCTGCTTTGCTCGCTAGTCAGGGAGGCATGGAGGTGGCTCACCAGGTTTCCTTAGGATGTCTGGGGTTAAGCCCTTCACCTATAGGTATGCAGGGGGCTCAGGGAGTGGCCACTGAGACCCCAGAATGTGACTGGAGCTCCACATGCCTCACATGCTGGTCTGGGCGGTGCAGGGGTGGCTCACCGAGGTTCCAGGGTTCAGCCCGGTACCCGCAGGCTCAGTAGGAGTGCGGGGAGTCTAATCCTAGTCTTTAAAAGCATCTCCACACTGATTTCCACAGTGATTTTACCAGTCTACATTCCCACTAATAGTGGAGAAGTATTCCATTTTCCTCACAGCCCCTCCAGCATTTGTTATTGGTTGATTTCTTGATGATAGCCATTCTTTCTGGATGAGATGGAATTTCAGTGTTTTAATTTGCACTTCTCAAATGACCAATAATGTTGAACATTTTTTCATATATTTATTTGCCATTTGTATTTCTTCATCTGAGAAGTGCATATTCATCTCAGATGCCCATTTTTGGATTGGGTCTTTGAATTTGCGGGGTTCAATTTTTAAAATTTTTTATATGTTCTAGATATAAATCCTTTGCCTTAGGGACAACTGGCTATAATTTTTTCCCACTATATGGGTTTTCTTTACACTGTTGGTGATTTCTTTTGTGCAAAAGCTTTTTAATAAAGTGAGATACCTTTTGTTGATTCTTTACAATATTTCCCTTGCAGTCTGGATTTTGTTCATGAAGTCTCTGTCTACACCTGTGTTTTTGAGATTTCTACTTATTTTCTCTTCCAGTTGATTTAGCATTGCTGTTTTAATGTTTAGATCTTTGATCCATTTTGACTTTAGTTTAGTGCATAGTGATAGACTTGAGTCTAGTTTTAGTCTTTGGCATGTGGAAAGCCAGTTTTTCCCAGAGGCTATCTTTCTTCCAGTGAATGTGTTTGGCATGTTTGTCAAAGATAAAGTGCCTGAGTGTGTTTGGAGTTGCATCTACATCTTCTATTCTGTTGTTCTCAGAATCTTACATCCAAAAACATAGAATCTAGTACTTAGCAAAATGGGAATTTTCAAAGATTCTTTGTATTCTGACAGATTGCAGAAGTTATCCTTTCCTAAGTGTTCTCAATACTAATGATAAAAATACCTACCATAAACACTTTATAAGCATCAATATAGTAATAAGACTAAAAAAATTAGAAAATGAGAAGACATGGAAACAAGATGCAACTTGAGACTTTCAACTTGCCAAAGGTGAACCCAGGGGGCAATAAGGTGGAATAATTCAAAAGCTAGCCACCTATGCTCTCTGAAGTGGTAAGAGCAGAAGTAACAAAGCAAATGAATCATGATCCAGAAAAAAATCAAATCAGACTTAATCTCTCAGATAACTTCAGTGATGGTGACCATTATGAATGGCATCATTAGTGAATTGAGAGAAGATATAAATGTTTTAAAATATAGGAACTTTGGAAAATGATGGGAACCATAAATTCTCAAACACAGGAAAGAAGTGGAATCCATCCAACAGACCCAGTCAGATATCCTGGAGATTAAAAATTCCATTGACAGTATCTGAATAAGAATGAACCAATGGGGGCTGGGGATTTAGCTCAGCGGCAAAAGCACCTGCCTGGCAAGTGCAAGGTCGTGAGTTCGGTCCCCGGTACTGGAGAAAAACCAAAAAAAAAAAAAAAAGAATGAACCAATGTGAGGACAGAATATCAGATATAGAAGACAGGGTTGCAGTTAGAGATCATGAAAGAAAAGAAAGATTTCTGAAAAAATAGCAATAGATCATGAAAAACCAATACAACAGCTGATAGATGACACAAAGAAGAATAATATAAGATTGACTGGAATCAAGACAAAAGCAGGAGATAGCACAAATGACATTTAAAACTGGATAGAAGTATTGCCAGAAAACTTTCCAAGTAATGAGAAAGAATCTAACATACATAAAAGTGAGGCGTACAGGACTCCAATTAGCCATGACCAAAAAAAAATCTACACCAAGGCATATGATAGTCAAGATTTCAGAAACTCATCAAAAGAACAGAATATTAAAAGCTGTTAGAGAAAAAAAATCACTTATAAAGGAAATTCTATCCAAATTAATGGGTACTTCTCAATATAAACTCTTAAATCAAGGTGGGCTTAGAGTAGTACTCCAAAGTATAAAAAAAAAAACCCACATCTTCTTCATCCATTAATTAATTGGTGAGCATTTGGGCTGTTTCCAAGTTTTAGCTATTACAAACTGTGTTCTATAAACATGGGTGTGTATATATCACTGTGGCATGATGCTTTTAGTTCTTTCAGGAAGACACCAAGACACCAAGAAGGATAATATCCAGGTCAAATGGAACCACTAATTTTAGTTTTTTGAGAAATTGTCACACTGATTTCCACAGTGGTTGCACCAGTCTACAGTCCCATCAACAGTGAAAAAGGATTCTTTTCCCCATGGCCCTGCCAGCACTTGTTAATGCTTGATTTCTTGATAATAGTCATCTTTCTGGAGTAAGGTAGAATCTCAGTGTTGTTTTCATTTGCATCTCTCAAATGACTGGTGACGT